TTTTTTAAATCAATCTCATAAGTTTTAACTGAGTCTTTTAGAGCTTGTTTAATAGGTGTGATTTTAGTTCTTGGAGCAGGAATTGGTTTTTAGATTTAATAGTTGTAGGTTTTGGAATTGGTTTGTAATTATCTGTAAATTCAAGAGGTGGTGCAATTATATATTCCTCATAATCATATACCATTTGTTTAACAGTTTTACGAGGTGCTGGAATAGGTTTTTTTTATTTTTGTTGATCTTTTAATAATAGATCAATGAATTGTTTTTGTGATAATTTATTCAATTCTGATTTATTCATCATTACTATATTATAGTTAAATTTTTTTAAAATAATTTTCACATTTCATATTCATTACTACAAATGTATTAATGTCGATTTTCCTTTAAGTGTCTTTCAAAAGCTCTGCTTTGCAAATGGTGAATGATTTTTTGATTTGTGGAGGCCTGGGACAGTCCATTTTATGCTGTTTCTGAAACGAAGCATTTTTTGATTTCTAGAGACCTGGCAAGAGTATATTTTAATCATGAGCCGGCTCTGCGAAGTGTTTTCTGGCAGAAGGATTTTTTTGATTTACCGAGGGCAGGGAGACATGAAATTTGCTCGCGAGAGGGCTTGAATAGAAAGTGCTATTAAAGTACTTGAAAATCGGGTTTTTCGAGGTGAGGCCCGGCGAGGGTATTGAAGGGTATTTGGCCCGTTATACGAAGTCCTAAAATCGGCATTCATATAACTACTTGCCCGCTCACGGAGCTAGCGATATATGGGTTATTGACCAAGTGTCAGGTCACGTTTGATCACGTTTCCAAACACGCGAGACCAGAGGTGAAACTACGATTCGTAGCGGAGAATTTTTGACGAACTTTAAGGCGTTTGGGAATGTGGTCAAACACTGTCTTGAGTACTTGATATCATGCTTTTTCAATCGAAACTTAAACTAACGAGAAAACGGAGAAATAAAATCTTAAAGATCTATGCTAATAAGGCCAGAGATCCAAAAACAGTCAAAGTCATGAATTCCTTTGTTTTTACTTGATGAACTATTAATGAGCTTGAGATATATAAGAATATAACATATAAAAGAACCCCAATTGTGTCTTTAGTAGAAGTTTTATTATATGGCTGTGTCTCACAAGGACTGGGAACTACCGAATTCACGAAATTGATTGCCTGAAATCGATATTGACCACGGTCTAGATTTTCCCGTCTAGACCGGCATCTAGACCGATTTCATTTTGAGTTGAAAAAGTAGCAAACTAAAATACAAAAATGTTCACCATTTTCTTTTATTTTCTTCTCAGTCATTTATGGAAGTGCCAAAAAGCCTGATGACAAATAAAAAAGTAAAGAGGACAAGCAAATTTCGGCAGGTTTAAGTTAAGCTCATCGCCGTCCGCAAGCAAAATGTCAGCAAACTAGTTACATTAAACGAATTATAGTTTTCTTCTTTGCCATATAATAAACATCTTATTAACCGAGCTAAGTCGNTTTTAATCTGGTAATAAAGCTTGTTGTTGTTCTTGTCCCTGATTCGATGACCAAACTTGAGAAAGTTGTTCAGTTACAAGCTATTGAGTATAGTCCTTTGCTAAGGTAAGTCTAACAACTAAGCGAAAATGAAGAAAACATTGTAAAACTCCTTTTTTGTCTCAGGAGCTGCACAAAGCAACATTTTGTTGTCAGCAAAATAGGATCCTAAACAACATTCTGCGAATTGTCCGAGTTATATTACATACATTATACTTAACACATTAAGAGGACAAAGCTACTTATTATATAAACACGAGTGTTTAACTGGAAAATACACCAATCGTAAAATTCATACGAGACTCGGGTGGCGTATTTTCCATATCTTCACTAGTGAAGATATTGATGACTTCACTGATATCATGATTGGCCCTTAAACTGTCCTTTTTTCGGTGTATGATCGAGACATCTTCGGATCTTTCTCGAAAGTCTTCGGCAATCTTCGGTTGTCTTCAATAATCTTGGAAAATTTTTTGGAACATTTTCGGAAACTTTCGTGTGGCCTTCGGACAATTTTGGGGAATCTTCGGAAATCTTCGGAAATCTTTGGAAAATCGTCCAAAACGTCGTTATCGAAAATGAAAAAACATTGTTAAACTCCTTTTTTTAACTTGTCTAGGGAGCTACACAGAGCAACATTTTGTTGTCAGCAAAATAGGATCCTAAACAACATTCTGCGAATTGTCCGAGTTATATTATATACATTATACTTAATACATTAAAGGGGCAAAGCTATTTAACATATAAACACGAGCGTTTTACTGGAAAATACACCACTCGTAAAATTCATACGAAACCACATCCGGGACTCGGGTGGCGTATTTTCCATATCCTCGGTAGTAAAAATATTGATGACTTCACTGATATCATGTTTGACTCCTTAAACTGTCCTTTTGTTGGTGTATGATAGAAACATATTCGGATCTTTCTCGAAAGTCTTCGGCAATCTTCGGTTGTCCTCGATAATCTTCGAAAATGTTCGGAAATTTTTCAGAAACTTTCGTGCGCCCTTCGGATAACTTTGGGGAATCTTCGAAAATCTTCGGAAATCTTTGGAAAATCGTCCAAAACGTTATCGATTTGTTTATATGATAAACCAAATGAAACATGGTTGCTTGTAGATATGAAATATCTCTTCTCGTGTTCAACTTTATATTTCACTCGTTCGCTGCGCTCAATCGTGAGATGTCGAGTTGAACACTCGTAGAGATGTTCCATACTTCTACTTCATATTTCTACGTGCGCCCATGTATTATCCTCTTTGTTTTATGCCTTCTTAAAACGTGAGGGATTTTTGAGAACACCAGCGACGTTTAATTTGGAAGGCATACTGGGCGTAATAACAATAATAATAATAATAATAATAATAATAATAATAATAATAATAGTAAACTTTACTGAGAGGGTGACACATGATAGTATGAACTGATAAACCAGTGGCCCTCTGTGCTAAACATCTACGAGTAATTATAAAATAACTAAGAATGACCTGTGAGTGTTCTGCGCGTTTATAAATCCGATTAATTACGGAGCTTGCCAAGTGTTTTACGACTGATGTAAAACATACTTCAGCTTCAATCTTAACTTACACCCTGCCTTCTATTTCCATATGATTTGATTTTAAAACCTTAATTAACTTCAAATGCCAAGTCTTTCTTTCGATTGAATTGGAATAATCGACGAAAGACTTATTTTTGAGAGTGCTAGGGAGCTTGTCTTTGGATACATTATCTATTCTTATGACAATCGCACTGTTATATCCCTCTTTAACGTTTTTGTAAATAGCTTGATCTAACTCATATTTGCAAAACTTGCTCGTGAAAAAATTCTTGGATACCACCGCTATTGTGTTTCTGCTTGTTTGGACACTGTCAGTCATGTTTTCCACAAAAGGTTTCCCAGGCTCAAAATCTCTGTAATGGACGCAGCATTTCAAGCCATGTTCCACCTCAAGGATAGGAAGAAGGGTTCCATCCACCCAGCTCTGGTCTCTATTGTTGAATATTATAAAAGCGTCGTAACGAAAGTCTGAAAATAAAGTATTCATTAATTTCTTCATAATAATTTTTTTGCATTAATGGTTCCGCGCATGTGTAAGAAGATATGGTGATTGCAAGAAGTAATATTTCCTCTTTTTTTACTGAACCGCATGCAGCTAAACAATCTCAGAGGGACTGAACCTGTAAATAACACGTAAATTCAGGGAAATCAGTCAAGAATTTACGCAGAGAAATTCAAACTTATAGTATGGCCATCAAAATTATCCGATCCAAAGGATTTAGTCTGGACTCACGCACCAGTCATCTACTCGTACCTGATCGGTTAATAAACAATGGAATGGAGTTAGAGGTGAATGGGATTCGGCGGAATATACGCAGGGAATATAAGCTCCGTTGCTGCGTTCACGCGACTGACCGTTGTGAATAGGATTAATCATGTAACAAAGTCATGTGTACGTATTACCATAACATACATGAGGTGGCCATAACTCGTTCAACGGCCATATACTTCATTTGTACTAAAGACTTACAAAATTGATCTCAAATAACATGAAAGCGGACACAAACCTGCCGGACAAGATGACAGACCAGAATGTCTGCTGCCTCCCTTACGGAAATACTTGTAACGAAGTACACAGGCAGTCGTGGCGATAACTGCCATGGTTCCGATGACAATTATAACGTATACTATTGAATAAAGGAAGAAAGTGATTGTAATTGTAAGGTTGTGCCATAGGTAGGTAATGGCAAAGGCCATGCCTATTATATATTGAGGCAAAGACGCTATTTAAATAGAGTGTGAATAATTCACAATTACACATTTTCGTTAAAAAATACTACTTTTCGCCTTTCGCGTGTCACAAGCATAATCATCATCATCATCATCATCATCATCATCATCATCATCTTGGCTAAACTGGGAAATAACGCTTAAACTTACAAATCGTCCCACAGACATATTTCCTACACACAATCTGAAACGTTAAGCCTTGAATGCATAAATACCTGTTTTATTGATTGTAGGAGAATCTTTGGTTGATTTCATTAAAAAAGAAGAAAACAAAATCATTAATGAAAGGGAACTTTGAGATAATGTCACTAATATTAATTTAGATTTACACCTTTAGAATTCGCGCTAGTACGCGTTAGTTGTACATGCAACAAAAGCGTAGCCTTCAGGAGCAGGCGGATTAAGCCTCGCGTTTTGCTCCGCAAATCCGCCTGTTCTGTAGGCTAGACTGTAACCTAGCGAAATAAAAATGAAAACAATACAGCTACCGGGACTGTTTGCTAATGTTAAAGTTGAAAAACTACCTGTGCGATATAAAGCCCTGGGCGGGAGTTATTCAGTTTTATCCCAAGTATAAAGCAATGCGTGGCTCGGCCTGGTCTCCACTTAATTTCTGAATCCTGCTGTTTTAGTGCTGTCACTCAGATGACCAACACTCGTGTGGCTTCAGGGAAGGGAATGATCCCGGGGCTTTTGTAAGTAAGAATAAGTAGCTACTGAGTGTTCATCGAGGACTCTTACTGGAAAATAGGTATATACGTGTTGATGCAAGTAGTTTATGTCATATTGCTAACCAGGTTACCGCCAGCTTTCTATATAATAAAGCTAACCAATGAACCAATTAAATACCTTCTAACTCTATTTGTTAGAATTGCCAGAACAATCGAAATCACCTTAGTGCTTTTAAAGTCAAAGGGGAAGGACAATTAACACGGGCTTCAGGTTTTGCTTATAACTGCAATTCGCCGGCACCCTTATCCCATTTAGCAACCTAAGTGAGGCAGTTTGTGTCTTTTGGACAACTGTGCAAGTATACAAAAACCTATGAAAATGTGCGTCTAGACCGGGACCCCGAGATCAGTATCGATCGGTAATACAAGCAACGCGGTAACGGTGGTAAGGCCATTGAACCTCCCAATCATCTATTCAGGTGCGGTTTATTTCTGTTTTTCCTTCCTTCTATTTAGCTCACCTGTAGGTGTAGGTGTAGGTGTTGATATACCTAAACAAAAACACAAAGCATCTTTTTTAGGTTGATATATCATATTCATGTAAGGCAAATGTACACTGGTCGCTGGATGATTACCAAATGAATTAAAATCATGATAACAGTCGGTTATATTATAGCCATGAAGGAATGTGTAATCATGGAGCATGAACGTGACACTTAACAACCTAAGGTTTTTTTAGTCCGATGGGTTACCAGGAATTGTAGTATTGGGCTCTGCTAGCGCACCTTCGTCGGCTCGCAGGAGCTCCGCTATAACTTTCACAATGTTAGTTTCGACGGCCTTACCTGTCTGTGTAACATTTCTTGGATGTACTGTCTCTGAAGAAGAAAATAGAAAAAATAAAGAAATAATAACTTTGAAATTAAGACTGATTAATGGTAATAAAACTATCTAGGAACAATTTTACACAGAAGATTTTGACTAATTTGAAATGCCTGTTTAAAGTAAAACGGACGCCGTAAGTTTAGGCGATATGGATATCATGAAGAGCGATCAAGTAACGGAATCATTTGCCAACACAGTTGAAAGATACAAAACGTATACTCCCAATTAATAAGTACCCATATTTGTCAGCTGACTTACCATTTAAATGAATTTCTGCGATCGACTGACAAGGAAGAGCAATAACCTTTAGATACCACGGAAACAATGAAAAAAAAAAAAAAAAAAAGAAAGAAAAGAAAAGAAAAGAAAAGTCAGTGGGTTAGTAATAAACACTCACAAAATATAATACATTTATTTCATCTAAACAAACCATCAACTGGATGATGCCAGGGATCACGCTGATTATTCTTCCAACAGTCTTTTGGCTCTACTTTACTCGTTTTGATCAGTCCTTATGGCGCCATGAGACGCATGAGGCCAAAGGCCTCTGTAATACAAATAATTCACAAATATTGGACGAGGTCGAGCCAAATATTATGATTTTTCAGTGGCGAGCAGATCAATTATTTGCGGAAGCCGAGGGCGGTCAAATACTTGATCTGCGAGACACTGGCAAACACGATATTTTGCGACAATCAAGTTCAAGAGCTGTTTTATTTTTCGGTCACCAAGTTTGTTTTCACATTTATGTTTTCACTAACATTTAGGGACGCGATCTGCCATTGTTTGTCACACAAGAGCGAATGGTAAAAGAAGAGAATAGCCAAAACTGAAAATTTATTCATCCATGCGGTATTGACGTTAAAACAGGCTTACTAACTAGCTAATTGCTGCTTTTGTTGAAGGATGGCGAGTAAATCAAATAACAAACTCTTTCCATGTATCTGGATGCATGACATCATTTTAAGCCCAAACGTCATTGTCTCGGTAATCATTGATTAGAACACCCTAGGCCGCAATCACGTGATTATACCACTATATCATTATACATAAGACTAGCTTTGTTCAGTTCTAATAAGGCAGTTGTGTAAAGCATATGTCCTGATTCATTTGCGCACTCTATAGTGGTACTCCGAACCCGAATACACAAAATTTACATCGCTGAATTTAATTTAAGTTTAATAAGTAAAATTCAAAACCGCTGAAGACTTCTGTCACTGTTGCAATTCTTATAATACTTACACAAAATTTGAAATACAAGTCGTTGTTTACGATACTTGATTCAGGTTCATCATAGGTAACGTACGTCTCGTTCTTCGAGAGCGCAAAGAAATAAACAAACAAACAAACAGTTATCAGCAAGTTAACAAACCTCAAAGCAGCATCCATACAGCTTGTCATACTTCATGTTTCAAGATGATTTGGGAATAATTTTTTCCTAGTTTTATGTCTATTCACTGATATATAATTACCCCGTTTGCATTCCCAGGTTTAAAAGGGCTTAGTATAAAGAAGGTATTTCAAATATATCCAAAAGTATCGAAAATTACTTTTTAAGCAGGAGGAAAGAAGCACTCAGTAGGGGCAAAACGACTTTAACAGTGTGCACCTCATTGCTTAGTCTTAGTAGCTGAGAGTAATGTCTGATGCTTCGCAAACCCGATGGCGTTCGACGTTCTTTGTCTTCCCGGCCCTGATAAAATGTACACCTCCCTGCCTCTAGTAGATTTGAAAATTTCCGTGTGCGTAAGATGGGGATTGCATGGGGATAGACGTCGTTTATGTTTCCATACGATCGATTTGGCGGAGTCGGGCAAACCAGTATAGGTGGTTAATTAATCGTGGGTCTGGATGATATTTAACAGGGGATCTTTCTATTAAATGCCTGGCGAATATCTTGGTTTTAGCAGATATGATATAGGGCGGAGTAGCGACTTTATGTAGCCGCATTATTAACTGGGGCAGTAGTAGTGTGAACAGGAGAAAGAAGTGGTGGCGTCAGAAATTCACTGAATTAGCAGGAGAACGTAGAACCAGCAAACTAGTAGCAGTATTAGTAGTAATTAATAGTAGCAACAGAAGAATCACTTAAAAAAACAACAACATTCAAAATAAAATTCTTGATACCTTTTGTCGCCTTATGTATCTTATCGCATTACTCCGTAAATAGTTATTCCAGTAGATGAAGGCATATCCAGTCAGTGTAAAGTCCACAAAGGATTCTAATGCGTAAATGGCCAGAAAGCAAAAAGTTAATTTTAATGCAGATCAAAACGAACTACGACGAGAGCTGGCATGGTGAGAGTATGTGAAAGTTCTCAGCAGCCGTCGATGCGTCCAATCGATTCATTTGAACTCAGAGTTCAGGCAGCCCTCGCTGACTTAGAAATTAAAATTTGCATTTGTATATTCATTGAGTAAATTAATGCGTCTGGTCTCGGACTATTAGAATGTAATCTAGACTTACCGTTTAAGGGTTTCCACGATATGTTATAATACCATCTGTTTGAATTCTCATATTGAAAGTAATTTATATTTTCCACAGTTGCGTACTTGTTTTTGGTGGCATTTGTTGCAGCTTGTGGACATATTTCTTGTGCCCGACCATCTGCAATATATCAGAATCTAAATATCTATATGTAACAAAAAATACATCAAAGGGCCATCAAAGGGCCCTATGGGCAATACGAAGACTACGAAAGACTACGAAATGGAAACGAAAACAGCACTCAAACTTCCTAAGCATCTGGATTCACTGGAAGCTAGTGCTACCTAAGAGCGCTACGAATTACACTGCAAAATTAAGGAGAAACAGAGACGATTGATCAGTTTGTGAACAACCTACGTAGGCTCGCATCAACTTGTGCCTTTCAGGTACGTAAACTGAAGAGTTGATAAGGGATCGCATGTTGGAATACAAGGCAGATTAGTGGGAGAATCTAAACTATTGTACCCGTCCTGCCACGAACGTTTACAGGAGTAGTGAAGCATCTGAGCAAAACTGAGAAACTGCGGAAGTTGGGAACTGGCAGAGAGCCCACGGGTGAAGAAGTACGCTATTACTCAGCGTGGCATGAGAGCAGGGGCGTAGCCAGGATTTTTCAAAGGGGGGGGGGGGG